CTCTTGTCTCTTTATATATTCTCGTATCATCTAAAATAAATAAAAAAAAACACGCGAAATTCCGGATCGAAAGTATATAAAATCTTATTAAACAGTCTTAAACAGTCTTAAACAGTTGTAAACATTTGTAAACACTTTGAAAGAACAGCGAAATTCCCGATCGAATGTATGGCTATTTGGCTTGGCTTCATACAAGTTCGTGAGTTCATTAAAACATTGGCAGACGTAATTGAGTTACTGATATAATCGTCAATAGCAGCCGCATTAAGCAAAGTTGCATCGCTGACTTGATTTTGCTCTGGATAAGCCCAAGGAACACCCGATTCAATCTATGTTATAAAGTTACTTAAAAAATGTAAAGGAATGTTGACCAGCCTGCTATAAAATTGATACATAACATCGCCCGACTGCAATAGCAAAACCTTACGTAATTTTTGCAAATGCGCTAAGATCATAAACTCGTCTCGATACAATTTCATAACAAACAAATTTGCAAGTTCAATCCGGCGGTTTAGTATCTGAGTTAAAGTTTTAATTAGTAATTCTTCTAAGAGCAAACTGCATAAAGATCTTTGTAATTGCTTAAATGTATCCAAAGCATTCGGTGTTTCTCGGTGCTTCTGTTTCATTGCTATTTAACGCAAACGACATAAGCAAGAATTCATCATTTGTTGTTAAATTACTTTAAACGCTGTTCTTTTTCATTTTAATATCTGAAGTGCTGACGAAGGGATCATTGTAACATTCACTTTCATCATCGGCATGTTTTGGTGATGATGGTCGCGATTGAATTTTAATTTCATTTTGCATAGTTCGGACCTGTTGCAAGAAATACTTTATAAATGTATTATGTAACTTTCCTTCAACAGCGACGCAGTCATTGCACAAATTTCCAATGCGATTAATTTCGTAAAGCAAATTAAGTGTACGTCCCGCTTCCAAAGCATGTTCTTGCATTAATAAGAAGGATACTTTTTGTAGCTTGTGATGGCACAAAAAATAATTTCGATTTATTCTTACGGTATTTACGCATGCATACCGACTGATCCACGTCGCTTATTCTAAATACGAATAAAAAGAGTAAAATTGAGTTTAAATAAGCAGAGAATTGTTACCTTTCTACGATGTATTCTTGCTGCCAATCATCTAACCGTCCTTCCGACCACCAAGTATCTATGATTTCACAGGATACCTTAATTAAGGCCAGCAGCAGCGACATTGCCAAGTTGGCGTTGGTTGCGTTACTCCCCATATGAAAACATTTAGTTAAGCCGGCCAGTAACAATGCACTGCGTATATGTGGTGGATATTGTTCCCAGCTGAGAATCATCGCCCGCATATTAATAATTGTATTTATTTCGAGATCTTGTTGTTGGAGTAAGCGGCATTCGTAGTTCAGTAACTGTGCCGGTAACCGTCACATGGCACTAAAATATAATTTGTTTCAGTATTTGCAGTATATGAAGTATGATCGAGAACCACAGGGATCGGTCTTTCGTACCTTGTCGCATGTAGGTGGTTTCTGCAAAAGCAAGCCTCTTCACGGCCATAAGGCGATTAGTTATCAGGCACTTAATGGCCGGCATTGTCGGATAACATTGACATTTTTCGCTGTTCGGATCCCTACGGCCGTCTTTAGTTTAACGAAAAGCAAGCGTAATAAATTGTAATTTTATGAAGTGCTTTTTACAACTAATTGTTTACTTTCCTCGCATTACTCGCTGTTATATATTAAAGTCAATTAACGAAAGTGTTTAATAACTTTGAAAAGTTCGATAAAATCAGTGTTTCAATGAAACGAATAAAAATTATACTAAAACTAAATTTGTCTAAAAGTATGTTACAATAAATGGGAAAAAATGAAAAGGAAGTGAAAAATTGTTCGGTCAGTAAGCATTCAAGAGGAAAGGGAGATAAAAATGAAAAATACGCAAAATGCATAATTTAAGTATTCAAAGCAAATGTTTGTGATGATGATGGTAATGGCCGATGACAATGACTCCCGCATGTTGTGTCGTTTTTACATAAACGGAAATATCAAATTACACTTTTATGATTTTTGTTTCTTTTCTTTTATTCTTTTTTTTTTTTTTTTTTTACAAAGTTTATGTTTTCTTTAATACGATCTTTTGTTGTAGTTATGAAGAAATGTCGAACGTGGAAAAAACAAAGTAGGATTTAGGATGTTTTCATGGTAAACCCGTCGGTGGTTTCCTGTTACGTTTGAAAGTGTTCTATGAGTAGGAGGACAAAAAAAAATATAAAATTCCATTCAAGCATAAAATGCTTACGATACGGCTCGTTTGACATTTATGGCCTTTTTGTGCGGTTTTATTCCCATTTACTTGCCTTAGTTTGCTATTTCTCTAAAATCTTTTAAAGCAATTTTTGAAAAAAGTATGAAAATATATTCTTTTACATTAGGAATTTCAATTACAGTCGATTACTTAAAGAGGAGTCAAGATATTTAAATATATATATGTATATGTAATATGTAAAAAAATAATTAACATAATCAATGATCCGTTACCATCCAAAAGGGAAAACATATTTCATATCATACTTGTAGTCGTAGATGGACATTTAAGTTAGTCATGAGGATTTCAATACACGTACACGGCCAAATTAATTCATTCATTGGCACTTATCAGGATTGTGAATAACAAGTAGGTTGGTATTCGGTTTTAGCTAAACATTTTATACTCACTGTCTTTATCTTAAAAAATTAGGAAAAACGAAAAAGACTATAGTTCGATGCTCTATAGTATTGATCGGACGTGGCTCATTTTTTCCAAGGTTCTACAAACCAAATGGAAATTTTTATTACGTATCAATTGTCGCTTTCAGGTAGTGAGCAAAAAAACGCGGAAAACAGAAGTGATCTTCATTTATTTTAGGCGTGTCCTTTCACACACGCTCAATAGCAACTTGCGTGCAAGAACTTCCAATGCTTTTGTCATATTTGAAGCCGTTAGTTCAATTTATGCGAATGGAAGAATGTTGACCATTCCACAGACGGATATACCTAAGTCGATTAAGAATTCGATGCTGATCGAAAATGTATATAGTTTGCGGGGCTTCCTTCTCTTTTGAAAATCTGATACGCTCATGTTCCTTGGTCGTAAAGACCTCATTTATCCAGTATGGTGAGGGTAAAAAATGAGATTAAAGGGCATATTTTACATACGTATTTATAAAGAGGACAATGCCTGTTTTTGTTGTAGGTGTTTTGATTTTGTATCAATTTTGTTATTCCGAAGGAATACTCCTTAGAAAACGCTTCGAAATCGCTATTATTATAAAAGAGGGTTATAACGTCCCGTAAACTACACAGAAAAAAGTTGCTTGTGACTTGTGATGCCTCTGTTATACTACTTAGAATACGCCTGTTAATGTCAAACAATCCTTATGGATACATTATTATAGCACACATTTGTTTTCTTATATAAATGAAATCTGAATATCTAATGCAACACTGCACTCGTTTTATGGACAATTACAATGTAGATTTTCGTTCATGTGATCAATTCCAAATCGTATTTACTATCCTAAAGCTATCAAGTTAAGACAAAAGCAAAAACTAAATGCCGCAGATATACCAAACTTACAAGTTTTATTCTTGACGCAAGATGCATATTTGTTGTTCGAGCGTCTCGTATAAGGTGTGATTACCGGGCGATGGAACGCTACAGTTAAAAATGTGTTTATAATAATCTCTTCTTTCAATGTAAAACAGTTCTTATTTTCCTTCTACTTGTCCCTCCGTCCGTCTGTCATTATTGCCGTCTATTAGCCAGCCTATCGTGTCGTATCTGTCCGTCCAACAATTTAAAAAATTTCAGAAAAATAATCTCACTCCGGTCGTTTCAAATATTGTTTCAAACGTATTAAAAGTGATCAGAAAAATTTGATTTCATTGCTATGTTTTGGTGCCATCGTTGTCAAAACCAACAATACATACCGTCTGCCATAAAGGTAAACGTAAGACACATAACAAAATTTAAAGAAAAAAAGAAAATTATGAATAAATGCAGAAGAATTCTTGACATTGCAATGAAAATAGTTCTCTCCGATACCTTTTTAGTGTCCTTGAAGTATATCAAAATCCATTTGTGCGCTTATTCTCCTGAAATTTTTATAATATATGTGTAATTTGCATATTTCGCTTTCTTTTATATCTATAAATGTGTAAAAACTGCGCGTAGTATAAAAGTAATAAACATTTTCTTGTTTTTATGTTTTGTGTTTTTATTCTTTGAATCTTACGCATGATTTTGTATTTAACATGTGTTTATGCATTTTCCTTTTCGATCAATTATTGCAAACGTTTTTTAATTTTCGAACACAAGATTATTATAAAAGATATTTTAGTAAAGATAAGAATGTGCACTACACACAGCAATTGTGGTGACTTCACGTCAGTTATTGTTTATTATTTGAAGAGGATGATGGTCTGTTATTCTGCTTTTCTCTTACTTTATTCAACTGCAAGAGAGATTATAATTTCTATGACATTCGTTAGGAAGCTGAAATTTCATATTTGGCAGAAGTGGATCGTTCATCCGCCTTTGTAGCATGAATTTCAGGCCAACAAAGCCGGTTAACAACTTTCGACAGCGTAGTGCAGCATGATCCCATTACAACGTCAGCTCCACAACCAAACCAAAGTGTAAATTTTTGTGATAGTTCAGAATATAATCCATTATTTTCGTTGAGTTTTGAAAGCTCACGGCAGCTTTGCTTGTTTTCATACTCGGAAAGATGAAAATTAATCTCACCATTCAGAATAACTTTTATTTAAAAAAGTCATGATGTTGTTCAAGCATCTTTAAACTTCAATTAGCGAATATAAAGCAAATGCGTCTGAAAACTTTCTAATTGGTATTCATCAAATGTCATCACCATGAGAGTTGCAATCGTATCTCGCAACACGCTATGTAAATAGAGAGTGCTCCCAAAAATCTATACACACTATACACGCTTTATTCTTTCTAATTTAAATGTCATGCTTAATATTTATCAGCAGTAGTGAGGATGACAAAGATTATTATTTCCAGCAAGGTGGAGCATCTTCCACTCCATCCCACTATCATAGTGATGTGAGGGCTTATATCAATGAAAATCCGGCGAACAGATGGATTGGACGAAGACTAAAGACATTCATCATATTTACGTGTTGTCTATCTGAAATGATGAAATCGAACCTTTCTTCGCTGTAACATTGCTTGTATTTAATAATTCATTGGACAAAACGAAATTAAAACAAAACATTTTACGGCTAAATAATTGCAATAATAACAATAACAATAATTTTCGGCTGAGGCAGAATCTTTTACACCCATCACATTTATATTACAATGGAATATGCAAGCATTTGTTGTTCCGATTAACGAGTAATGAGTAAAAAACGCACCCCTCTTTTAATTTTTGAAAGCCGAATTGTTTTCGTTTTACATTGCGGGCGTGGTCTTTAACCGATTTGGTTTATTTTGGCAACCTACGTGTACCAACGACTTGTTTTTGCCGAATTCGAAGACAATATCGTTACTTTTGCGACGAGGACGATGTTTATCACAAACACTAAACATGCAGACAGATGGACAGAAGGGCGGATGAACATGGTGCTGATCAAGAATATCTCTTTATCTGTTTACGGGATACCTGAGTCTTCCTTCTGAGTGTTGCAGACGTTTTGAAAAAATGGATACAGATCTATCTCTCGGAGATGCATAAAAAAAAAGCCCAGAAATTAATTTTCATAGGTATATATCAGAGTAAATACTTCTGAATAATCCTTTTTTATCTTACAGTAAGTTTTCAAATTCCGGCTTTACTTTTCCAATTCACGCGGGTATCAGAAAAATTACTTTTAGTCCCATGCGACTTGAAGGATTGCTTTTTTTTAATTTGCAAATGTGACCAATTGACAAAAATATATTAAATATTTAGAAAGCTTTCATACCTTCTTCTTAATTCGCTAGGTGAAATCCGCTCGGCGATAGCACCATGCAAGCCTGAACGTACTGCCAGTATGCGTGAGCGCGAAGCTCAATTGGAATTGGCTCGTAAACGACGTATTGGCGGGGGGTGCACCGTCGAAGGTGGAATGCCAGAAACTATTGACAACTGTGATACTGTCTCGATTTGCTCGTCAAATGAAGAAAATGTATCTACACTAACACCAGTAGAACAGCAGCAACAAGAACAACAACTACATCCGACATCTGCAAATATGAATGATTCCAATAAACCAAATCATTCTGGCAAAAATACCTTCAGTCCGCTAATGACTATGAAGCGAATCGAAGGCAAGCCCCCCAGTGGAAGTGGTCGAATAAGTACATTCTAACGGAAAAAAAATGAAGCAAAAATTAATATATCCAATAAATTGGAAATATTCGATAATCTTGTCAACGGTACTAACGTTGTCGCCCCCAATATTTGCAATAGTTTGGAAAATTGCCCCAACAGCATAAAGGATTCCGTACGTAAAATAACAAGTACTATCGACAGTTATCTAAAAGATAAACGAAATTACGAGAATTTGTATGAATGTGTAGAAGATCTGCCTAGCCCACCAGAACCTCCAGCTCGTTCAAGTGACTTGCAAACAAACCAACGTCTCCTACAAACAACTAAGCGTAATAATTTATATGCGGATACTGTATCCGTCGCAAGTTATACTCGAAGCGAATATGGGCCAGCTCGGAACTATGGTTTAAATAATAGTTTAGGTATGAAAAGAATCGACAATTAAAGGTGCCTTCAAATTTCAATTAAATACCTTTTTGTTTTTTTTGTATACCCAGCAAATATCGCTCGTATGACGTCCTCATCGTATTGTGGCAGTGAAATTGGCGATTTAGATATATATTCGCCCTATAGTTATTATGGAAGTGAGACGGGCGGTGATATTGTTACGGATATTAATGACAGTGTTTGGGGAACGCCGGCGGTGAGGAACAGAATATGGTAGCCTTACAAAACAAAGGAATTAATTAAAAGCTAATATTTTTTTAGGCTTCTACGAATCGGGCGAAGACCGTGAACCGTTTGCGTATGCGCAAAGGCCGCAGTGTAGTACATGAAACTATAGAGGATAATTATTCGGCAGTCGTAGGAGCTAATCATGAAGCATTGGCACAGGTGTTAGAACAAGTAAGGAAACGAGTATCTTTGAATACACGACTTATGTTTCAATTTTTATCATTTTTCAAACACATCTAATTCTGTTTAAAATGCAGCTACAACAAGCACGCATAACATCGCCTGCCTTGAGACCCTTAGCCAATGCCATTAATTTGCGTTTTGAGGATTTTACAATTTTGGAAGGGGTTCAAGCATTTGTAGTAGGTAAAAAAGCATTCCACGCAGCTATTCGGGCGTCAGTATCCGTCACGTTAGCGCTTTCTGCTGACTGTAATCAATTAGCTGGCGCCGGTGGTGAGCTTAACCAATTATCGGGCAGTATATCCGGCGCTCTCAATCCCATTACGGAATTTTGTGACCTGGTCCCCAGTTACCATTTGCCTTTAATGCCGTCAACTGAGTTCACTTTATTGCAAGCCACAATATCTGTCCTACCACGTTTGCAGTTGGATACTCTGCTATCCATCGGAGCAATCCTAAAGGGCAAATCTCAAATTTTAGACAAAAGCAACTACAATTTCCGTGGTTCAATACCCAACTTAACCATATCAAAGGAAAGTAATAACACTAATGTCATAAGAAATGGAGTATCCGTGCAAAACCTGACTACGTTAAATGAAGAAGCCATGGATAAAATGAACACAAAAGAAGAAAATGAAACTAACATTCCAAACATTTTGAACGGGACGCCAGCTTTTGATGATGTTATGACAAGAGAAGTCGCCTTCATAATGCTACAATTAATAAACGGCATGAAGAACTTGCAGATTAAGGCCATCGAAGAAATGCCTTTAAGCCTTTCAAATGTGGTGCTTTCGAAAGAAGTGGATAATAAAGATTCCCAAGCCAGACTTTGCGTGCTACAAGGGTAGGCCTTTATTAGCAAATAAATTAGAAAATATTGGTTCAAATATGTTTAAAGCAACGATTTCCTTGCATCTTTAACAGCAACAATCACCAAGAAGAAGATGAACCTATGGGTACCTTATGCAAATGCGCACATATTGCTTTAACCGAAATGTTGCCGCCTACAAAAGTGTCCAACGTTATAGGCGAAATTTTGTTGCAAGAACGCGCCGAGTCATTGTCAAAATCAAAATCAGTCTTAGAATTTATATTGTGGGGTCCATCTGATGTAGCTTTAACCGGTTCTACGAAAGAACGTGAATCGGCCTTACAACGCTGGCTAGACTTAGAACGTGCGACTGTATTGCATGGCTTAGTACGCACTCGTGTCGAACTTACCGTCTACGATGAATGTCATTTAATGTTTTTAGTACGCTCAACAGCCAAGATTATGAATGATGCCGCCAAAATCGTGAACAATGATTAAGAACAACGTAACTTGAAGATTTGACATCCACAAGAAGATCAACTTACAAAATATAAATAAATACGTACTATAGCTATTTGAAAACAAAAAAGTTAATGAAACTGCTTTATAATATTATAACGTGTCACAGCTTGCTTTCAATATTGTGCCAAATTTATATCGCTTTTCATCTTTTATAAGAAATGTAAAAATTTGTTCTGTATTCTTCACATGATTAGTTATTATTTTAATTTTTATTGCTATTTTAAAAAATAATATTATTTTGAATAAATATATTATCATATGTGTGATTATAATTGCATAATATTTCTGATGTACTTGTAGAACAATAGAACAATAATTGCTAAAAAAATGTCGGTCAAAAATGTAAAAATAGGTGGAGATTGATTGTAACAAATTGTCTGTTTATGTGTAAAAGTCCTTGGAGTTAAAATAAATTGCCTTTATGATACAATTGGTATGCAGATGGAACGAAGCCTCTCAATGTTATTATCGCTTTCGTAGAAGATTTTCCATAGCAATACGTATCCTGTTTATAATGTTTGAATGTATTGTCATACCATTGGTTTTGAGTCTATAATTAAAACTTAAGTCGACGATTATGTCATTCCAGTTGTTCATGTAGCATATTATGCGTCTGTAAGGCTTCTGTGAACCTAAATTGATATACTACTTATATATTCGTGTATCTGGTAGCTGATTATATCGGCATTTTTTTTTTCTGTTATTTCATTTGCTCTAAAGATTGTTTAAAAATGCTTCAACTAGAACTGAAATTGAAAAGAATAACAATTCGTACACAGTCCCACGCACAAACACATGCATGCATGTGTGCGAGCATATATATATATATATATATAGATGAATGTGTGCATTTATGTACGTATATATGTGTGTATGGCTCACTTCCATATAAAAATAAATGAGAATAGGAGTTACTCCACTAAAAACAAAAAACCGTAAAATAAAATTGTTTACACATGAATGCTTTCCAATACATTTTATACATATACACATTTATTTATATATGTAACGAAAATGATGACGTCAGTATAATGTTTTTGAACATGTGAATTGCAGAGGAAATTCCTATTTAGTGTAAATACTTGCATGCATATATATGTGTCTTATGTAGTTTAGAAAAATATTCTGCAAACATATATATATATATTAAGTATTACAAGTGCGCTCAGAGAGTTGCTTTACTATAGTTTATTGTTACTCTCTGTATGCTACAGAAAAGTGCTTTGCGAACTTTACATACATATAAATTGTGAAGGAACTAGCGTTATAAATGATGTCAGTGAGAGAAGTTGTAAGAGATGTACTTAACTTACTCTTATGACACGTTTTCAACTCTTATTTGACGTTTACTCTTACATATGGTGATTGTCATCAATGAAATTACTAACAGAGTTGTCAAGTGCCTCGAAAATGAAATTGGCGTTTTTCCTAACTTCTTTTCATTTTTGGAAACATTGTTTGTACATATGCGACAAAATGTCTGAAATTTTGCATAAACGTATGCAGGGGTAGGAAAATTGTAGCGTAAATGTTTTGTCATTTAGCCCAATGATGCGCTCCTTTGAGGTGCTCCATGCTTGGTTATTTGAAGCTCGATCTAAAGCAAACAGATTTTCACTATAAAAATAAACTATTATTGTTAAGGCTGATGTAAACACGATCATATAGCAAACACCACTGAAAACTGTTCGGGTTGGATTACTGTTTCGACGATCCATGTCGACATTTGAATAACCCAAGTTGGTGTTGGATGTTCAATGGCGGACCGTGGCACACTCCGGAGTTTTTGCTAGCTTCCAAAGGGAAATAGTTTTAAAAATGCATTCCTTAACTTAGCTGGTTGGCTTTTGACAATTTTTATAATTAGCTATAAGGTTGACGGATACGTTTGATTTGTTTTGCCTTTTGATATAAGAAAGTGCCCGTCAAAGGGATCGTAAACGGTACATATTCTTTATCAGCGCAAGATTTGCTTGATCGACTCAGCTAAGCTTGCTTTACCATCTCTGTATCCGTTCTTTCGTTTATTTATTTGTCAATTTATTTGGCTCCTCTTACACACAACAACACGTCGGATTGTTAACACACACTCGCCATTTAAAAAACTAGAAATTTTTTTTGGACACTTGTTTGGATATAAAAAATGTAATTCACAATAAAATTAGTTGCACTCGTCTTTTGTTTTTGTAAGTCATCAAAATAACGGTAACTCTGTAAATAATTTTTCTGTTTCTAGAGAGTAATGTATTTATATTAGAGAGAATTTATTGTACTGTTTCCTCTCAAGTTTATTTAAGTAAAGAAAAAAAGAAAAGTAATGGCATCAAAACAATAACTTTGTGTAAGGCTTTATGCTTGGCTTGTGTTTTCGGTGTGTTCGCGGAGGCTTTTTGTTATGAATTTATACATTCTTTAAACGGAACTTCTTTCTTTTTTTTTTTATTCTATTTTGTTTTTGTATCTTTATGAAAATTTTAGGGACTTTATTCGCAGTGATTGGTTTGTTTAATTTTATTTATTTTTGTTTTGCTTTGTTACATTGAGTAAAAGGTCAAATAATTGACCTTTTCTTAGAAAGGGAATGTCAATCCAATGGTATTTTATTTTAAAGTACATGTCAATTTCACATTTTTTTTTATATTCTTTTTTTGCAATTCGTTATCATGCTGTGCCTTAATGATAGACGTAAGGCATTCTAGTCATTTTCTGAAGTGAAATTTTAGACAACGATTACCCAACGATAAGCTTTTACTATTTTATTTAAAAATAGTTTTGGCCAATGAAAGCACAGTTTCTGCAGTTGTTCTAGTGATTTCGAATTTTCAGGACAACGGAAATAAATTGAAGCAAACTACATTTTGGTTTAATTTCGTCTTATTTTTCGACTTTAGAAAACTTAAAATAAGACAAGCTTAATTCAATCCGAATCGATCGCTATAATACACATTTGCACCACATGAGGTGTACGGCACAACAAGAAGTTTTTGAAAAGAATAAGAAATATTTATTACAATCTTTAAATATTTATATCACATAGATATTACCGGAATTCCGGTCTTGGCTAAGTAGCAAGGTGTCTTATTATACTCTACACCACTTGTGGTACACTGTGTATTAAATTAGTGCGGGCCTATCTAACACGCAGAAGGGTTTAAGATACACCCACCTTTTACTATGCCGATGAATTCAGAATTATAATCAGTCCGTCTGATGTCCGGCCACGTAAATTTGTGTTCAAGCTACATATCGCAATTCTTGAGATATTTTGATGAAATTTCGTACGTTGCCGTGTTTTGATCTAATGATTAACGCTATTGAAAATGGTTCGAATCGGTCCACTTTTTCGACCGTTTCTCATATAACGCCCTTTTCAAAAGTTGTTATATAGAAAAAAGTTATAATTTCGAAAATTTCTCGGCAAAACTGGTAGCATTTCGGCTTTCTAAATTCCTATGATATCTTTGTATCGGTTGGGGAAGTTTCTGAACCCCCCTTATATAAAGAAAATTGAAGCTCGTACGTTAAAAAGCACTTTGCAATTTAACATAAAAAAATAATTCACATTTCAAAAAAGAATTATATATCGATAAGAGTCGCAGTCGTTGAGATCGAATGGCAGACGGCGAACGTAGAACGCGAAAAGGTTTCTTTTATTTAAATGTTTTTATGGCAATAAATTCTGAAGTTTTTAAATTTTTGAAAAGTATAAAGTTTCGTTTCGAATTCAACTGCCACTCATTCTTTCCGTACATTCTACTCTCCATTCTCCATTCTCGTTTCGAATTCAACTGGCACGCATTAGTTGATAGCTATGCTGAACAAAAATTAAAATGTATTAAATGTATCCGAGTTATGCCCATCTTCATGGATGCAAAATGGGCACGAACTCTCTAATTATTTAAAAAAATGCTCTAAAGTTGTCTATTTAAGCCATAATTAAATAAAACAATTTTCGTTCTTGTGTTCTTGCAGTTGAACGCATTATTCAATTCATTATTCCTGCCTGCAGACACTTTTGGGAGAAGCACTCGAAGCAATGCACATTATACACTACGAGGGATAAGATTTGTGTTAACAAAATAGGCTCAGATCAACTAAAATATTTTCTTCAATAAAAAAACAACCAAAAATAATAATAAGTTAGAGAAGCAGCTTTGAGACTACTTTCAAAGTCTGCAGTTTCCTGCTCTTGCTGTACGATATTTTACCAAAACTTAAATTCAGTTTTAAATATTACACTTAATGTTTATCTTAAATAATAAGTAACTAAAATAAATGTCACCATAAAGATTAAACCAAAGTCTTCTAATTGAAAAAGTTTTTTAATAAGAAACATTTCATTCTGTCATTAAAGTGAAGGTAGAAAATATATGTTAAAAGAAGAGTGAAGGTAAAGAAAAGATAGATTGCAGGAACTACGTTTTGTTACACTGAATTTCAATCACCTCACAATTAGTTACACTACGGCTTTTGGACTAAAACTACACAATTTTCTTTACATCTGCATATATACTGATTTCTTTTAAAAAATCGATAAGTAGATTGCAGCAGCCATCTCCAGATGGACTTAAATTTTCCTTTAGTTTAAGAGTGGTATCGTCTAAGAATGGCTTGGTCTAAGAATGGTAAGATGTAATGTCTAAGGTTCTTTGTATTAGTTGTAAATTATTTGAATTATCTAACATAAAACAGATTTTTTAAACCAGAACCACTGATACCAATCCAAAGAATAATTATTCCTTTCAATGGTGTTGTAAATGCTAAGTCAGCACCCGGGACTTCAAAACTCATTTGCGGCAGACTTTGCTTAGTGCTGCAATGACAGCTCAGTCGTTGAAAGCCTCCGCCGTCTTACGCGAATACGGGACGACCCCCGACGACGAAATGATTGGGCGTGTTAAAATAACGAAAAAATAAAAAAAAAAAAATGTAGACAAGCAGTATTCCAGTCTACGCCCACCCACTTTTCCTACATTAAACTTTGTTGTGGA